TTAAATTGATTTTAGGTTCATTTAAAATACAATAAATTGATCTGTGAATTTTTAAAATTGGGTTCAAGAGTACGATTATGCACGGAGAAAGATTAGCACCCGTGTGATGCCCGTTTCACGAACAGTACCATTTAATAATATGTTATTCTATTATAGTCTAAATTCTTAAATTTATTTCATTGGATTTCTTTAATTATCATTTATTTATTTTATTTTATTAACAAATTAAAATATTTTATTTAGTTTTATGGGTGTAATGTGCACATGATGCAATTATGAAATGCATGGTATAAAATCTAAATAATATCGAACGAATACCTTTCAAAGTGAGCACAAAAAATTGAGATAAATATCCTGACTCTCTTAAATTTTGATCGAAATTACACAAAAATTTATTAGTTTTTGAAAAGTACATTTCGTTCCAAACAAATATTTTTTACTAAACACGTAGATCCAGCTGTTAATCAATCGTTAGAATTTTCGTCAACGTACTGATGCGGCAAAGGTAGAAAAATAACTTTACCCTTGATTACTTTTTATAATTACAATTATATAATTTTTTTTATTAATTATAAAAAAAAATCCCTTGAGGGAGCTCTAATCGAGCTTCCTAAAAGAGCATTGGTTCCCCAAAGGGTTCACCTTTATTTTTTAAAAAAATAATAATAATAATTTTTTAAATTAATAAAAAATAGCATTTTAATCTTTTCATTATTTTTGTTAACGATGTTTGTAGTATAAGGACGGAGTATTCATTTCGAAAACTAATAGACCTTGTGATTTCGATCAAAACTTAGGAGATCAGGGTATTTTATAAAAAAACTTTAATCATTGAAAATGAATGGATACATTTAATCACCAAAAGTGGATAGATATATTTAACCACCAAAAGTTAATGAATATATTTAACTATCGAAAGTGGATGAATACATTTAATCATTGAAAGTTGAGAGATATATTTAACTATTGAAAGTAAATGGATACATTTAACCACTAGAAATGAATAAATAGTAAAGAGATATAAAAAAAAAGAGGTAAAAGTGAACATGATAAAAAGAATATAGAAAATATCTATTATCGATATGGCATGAAAGGTAATTGATCACGTACTTATCTTACTTTAAAACAACTTGTTGAATTTTATCAAGTATTATTAAAAGCTAAAAGAAAAAAATATCAAAACAAATTTTGTTCAAGATGATTTAACACATCCAAGCATTGCTAATTTTCTTGTCCACTTTAAAAGAGAAAATGAACATTTAATTAATAATGAAAATATCTAATAATGAAATTTCTTGATGGTTTGTTAGTATATTTTCGTATAACTTTATCATAAATATGCTTTTATATTCTTATTATTTTTAAATAATATATTCTTATAATAAATTCTATATTTAATGTTCATTTATATTAACTTGCAAATTTCTTACTATATATCTAATTTTAAAATATGGATATTCGTATGGTTGGGTCCAAGATCAATTATGCAAATATATATCTAGCAAATAGTACTACAACACACATTATATTTAAAAATAAGAAATATTTTTTTCATTTGACAATGAAAAAATCTATGTCAATACAATCTCTGGTAGTACAAAATTAATTAAAAACTCCATAAGAATCAATATTTTACAATCCGAAGGAACAAAGTTTTTAACAAAAGATGCATTATTTTTTATTAAGTCTCAAAAAAATTTATTAAGTTTTGAAGATATTCATATGAATAGACATCATATTAAGAAAACGAATGAAAAAGACACTTAAAAACTCTATATTGCTTCATTATCTCGAGTAAAAAGTGTGTGTTGGAAAAATTAGTCGCTTTGGTCTCTGGATTGTGTTACACAAATATTATACTAATTGAAACTCATGTTACAGTAAGCTAGAAGTTTACTAATGATTTTAATATTTAGCAGGACCAGATAGGTCATTTCAGATCAATAATGATATGAAAAATTATTAAAAATACATGTAGTAATCTATTAAAAAGCTAGAAGATTTTTCAATTGAATGAATTCTCATGCGCTGCTTGTTCTTAAGGTAAATTAATTATAAACTATCATCAGCTACAGTTGAGACTGAATCTCCTACATTTGTGGAACGTATTAGGGTGATATACGTGGATCCATATATCTACCATGTGTACTCTTAAGATAGTTTATGATTTTACTCGCTGCATTGATTAGATGATCACCTATGCTTATTATTAATTTGCAATTTGGTATTTATAAGACTACTGGTCCAAATCATTAGTTTGCAAGCACATTTTTTTAATTATGCAATCAAGACAATTTGTCTTGATAATGTTGATGAATTTACATCTCAAACTTTTAATAAATATTGCATATAGTTAGAATAACTGTTGAGCAACTTGTTGCTCATGTTCATAATATTGAGTGTTAAATTCTATGTAAAAATATCATTAACGTTTATTTCATTTTGATTCCATTTTTTTTAATCATGGCATAATTTATTGAAATCTCTTCATTTTTAATGATTTCAGGTATTTGATTTTTTTAAAAAAATTTCATCAATTATGTCAGGGGTCCCTTTTAGAGTTTTCGTTTCCTCTTTTTGACCATCTTGTATATTTGCATTTTTCTTTTTCGAGGATTTTATCATTAGAACTTATTAGTTTCTCACGCTTTTTGGGTGTCTTATCCTATAAAGACATCCATTCCAATAGGAGCTTTTGCAGCTATATATGAGATTTAGTCATTCTCTTTAAGTTAATAAATATATTTAGCAACTGATTTGCTATATTATGCAATGAATTATCTTTTGAACTTTAAGTTTACATTGATTTATGTGAGGATTAAAACTAAATAATGATAATACATTCTAAGAAATTTCTTTTTCTAGCTACTTATTTTCTCTTTTTAATGTTGAAAAATCTATTCCATTAAAATGACAATCGACAAATCTTACCATAAATAAATCTCCTATTAATGGTTCTAGATATTTAATTATAGATGAAGATTTATATCCACCATATATTTATAATCTCCTTTGAAAACTCATCTTTATGCGTTGTAATAAAGTAATTAGGACATATATAACCTATATCCAAAAATTCTTAAATAGAAAATATTTGATTCTTAATCATAAACCAATTATATAAGAAAGGATTTATGATGACTCGTTAGCCTAATGCGTACAAATATTATTGCATGCAAAATTGCATACCCTCAAGCAGATATGGGAAGTTTAGTTTTTATAAACAATAGTCTTGTAATTAGCTTCTCAAAATCTTATTTAACCTAGCTTATATTTTTAATAGATAGATAAGTTAAAAAAAAATCAAGTCAAACAAGCACTAAATACACACTTGAATAAAATGTTCTTACTTCCTTTAAATATTTTTTCTTATAATTATTTTTTCAAGTTATATTTCATAACACTCATAACATATTTGCATTATCATTCTTTACTATTATATATTTATTCCTCGACTTTCACCGGATAACATCAAGAAAGATCATTCTTAACTCTGAAATCTAAAATTATTTGAACATATGACCAAACTTAATATTTGTATGTAATTTTTAGAGGTGATCATTCAAAAAGTATTCAAATTCGATTATTTAATTTGGATCCACTTAAAGTGATGAATTTTTTTAATCATTTTAGATTTTAAATTAATTTAGATAATTCAGGTAAACCATGTTAAAATCGAGATCACATGTCATCTATACAAGATCAATTTTAAAAATTTTGAATTGTGAATGGTCCACATCTTCGTAGGATTATCTCTAGGACCAAACTTATAGCCTAATGCAACCTAGGGTCAATCTTAAATTTTGTCATTTCTTATAAAAAACAATAATTAAAGTAATAATTTTTTATTTTTATATGTAAATTACAATCAAATAATATATCAAATTTATGAATACTTAAAAAAAATGAATACATCAAAGTTATAATTTCATTTATAGATAAGTTTTATTACTTCTGAAATCTTAACATTTTATTTAGTATTGGTGATAGTTATTTATTTATTTATTAATTTATTATTTGTATTGGATATAAACACTGTTAAAAATTCTTTAACTTACTAAGATCTTCTAAAAAAATTTATAATTTCAAGTCTTACAATTTGTTAATATTTAGCTTATTTTATGTAGCTCATTAATTTAAAATGGGTCCAACTTTCAGTTTTGCAGTTCGATCCTTTAATAGGAGGTAAGTGGATAAATAGCCATGACCATAAACTATCCAAAAATATATATCAATTTTAAAAGTTTTGAATCATGTATCACTCATCAAGTTATAAAATCATTTAAAACCAATTTAAACCTATCGATCCAAAGTGATCCATGGGTGACCCTAGACTGTTACTCATCTCTATTTTTATAAGACTAATCTTAAGATCTAGTGCATACAGGACCGATTCTAAATCTTATATATTTTTGAACAAATATTACAATATAAACTGCAATACCAAATTTATAAATATTACTAGAAAATTCAAATATCCACATTACTATTCACATCGTAATTTATTCATCATTTATTGTTAGGTTTATTACTTTTAAAGTTTTAACGTTTTATTTAGTCTTGTTTGGAGTTTGTATTGGATAAAAATGTTTAAAGTGATTTTTTAGTTCAGTGGTTCAAATTTCTAAAATAGGCACCATTTTATTATTGTAAGATTTACAATTTGTTCCTTTCAAAAAAAAAAAGAAAAGAAGATTTACAATTTGTAAATATTTAATTGATTTTTTATTTAATCTTTGAGTAACCATTTCGTTAGAATCAATTCTAAACTCAATCTTACGATTCAATTTTTGGATCCAAGATGACTGAATAAGTACTTGAAATCATAAACCACCTCAAAAAAAATTATAGATAAGACCACCCAAAATTTGGTCCAAACCCATGGACCAAGATTATTCGTCGAGACCTTGGACCATTGCTCACCATTAGTACTCACACTCATGTGCAAGTGTGTGTGATCTTCTCTTTGTTTGACATCCATATCTTGAGAAAACAAGGAGTAACATGAATTCACATTTTCAATCCGACTGATTTTATTATAAAAATTGAAGTAAAGCTATAACCTCGATCCAATGGCGGATAAAACTAGCTCATCATCTTTCAAGACTCTTAAGCTTAATAGCACAGGGTCAGTGCACTCTAGCACTCAGCTCCAGCCGAGACAAAAATAATAGCACACTTCCTTCAATAGAAGTACATATATCAAACAATTAGAGAGCAGAGAAAATTGTCATGAGACTCATGACTAGCTACTATCTCTGAGAAAATGTAGAATGATATTCATACCAGTCCGGTGTATAATGCTCATCTCCTAACAGGATTTCCACCTCTAGATGGTGCCTCATACCCACTTCCAGTACGCGCAGGAGGTGTTGCAGATCCATATGGTCCATTGTTTTGGGGAGCTGCTTGTCCATGTGGCACAGCAAGACTTCTAGCTGGTGCATCATAGGTTGCACCCCTGGATGCATCATTTACAGATCCTCTTTGAGTTTCGTAGCCACCTCCTCTTTGTGCATCATAGGCATGGCCTCTTTGACCATCATAACCAGATCCTCTCTGTGCATCATAACTGGGGCCCCTTTGTGATTCATAACCAGGCCCTCTTGACGCATCATAACCAGGTCCTTTTGATGTGTCATATGCAGGTCCTCTAGGCACCTCGTACCCAGTCCTTCTAGGAGCAGGTCCAGACTGAGCCCCAACATAAACAGCAGCACCAACACCTGCATTTGCACCGGTAGCAGCAGATGGGAGAGAACCATGTCTCTGTGATATAAATGAGCAGAATGTCATCAATCCAAAATATAGAATTAGCAGACACAATATACAATGCAATCACAGATGAATCGAAATTACAACCACTTACTACAAAGTAGGCAGAGGAGTGGGAAGGACTCGACTGCAGTGTGTCCTTATACTGTATCATACTTCATAAAGCTAATTAATCCTTCTTTATCTGACACTAAGCATTAACTTCAAAAGAATGCAATTTATCCTAAAAACATCATTAATCTTTGCAGCAATCTAGATTTTCTGTTTAAGTATAAGTTTTGGTTTTTTTTTTTTCTGTTTTCCCTTTAATGTGCAGAAACCCAACCTAGTAGTTGAGCACATATAGCCACAACCTGTACATGTTTCTGAACAGAAATTATTCCGGCAATCTGTCCATACTTCCAGAGTTTGGTTTCGATAGAAATAAGAAATATCGAACATCTCAGACTTAATTTGATCAGGCTCTACTATACCCATACGCAAAACATCAGGGAAACATGACTATAAATTTTCTATTAAATATAACCATATGCAGATTATCCTGAGTCTTTCAGAATATGATACAATTTATTTTACATAGAAAAAGGTTTAACACGACTTCCATCTACTCCTATGTGTTTCCCTGTTAACCAATCTGTGGATAAATTAAGACACAGAACTCTAACCATCATGGAAGATTACTCACCTGATGAATAACAAAACCATCTTCATATGCATTTTGTCCCACAGGATGTCCAGAAGCCTCATTCTCATTGTTTCCTGTGGCACCACCGTATTGCCCAACTGCATTTCATTACCATAAATGAGTCATCTACAATGTTAATAAAGGCAAAAAAAAGGTAGCAAAAACCAAAAAGTGAGCTGAAAAAAAGAAAAGATTAAAAGAAAGGAAACCAGTTCTTCTGTCAACATTAGCGGCATTCAGCAGCTCCGCTCTAAGCTTCTCCACTTCCCTAGCCATGGTCATATAATTTTTCTCCATCACCTGAAGTGATTCTAGGTGATCATTGTAAAATTTCTTTTCATAGTCAAAAGTAGCCCTGCATGATCCAAGAATAGGTCATCACACAATCATGACACATGGAACTTTCTGAAACAACTTCAATAGAAAAGATCTATGAAAGGACTTTAACTGAACTACCAGGCATGCCCAAAGAGGAAAATAAGAGGAAAGAAAAAACTTTTGATAAATAAAATTCTACAGTGGGCTTCCAAACAACATAGAAAAATAAGTTTTAATATTAATTTCCTGTTCAATACCAGCCGCTCTAGTTTAAATCTTTCTCAACTTTGCTCCCAAAACACCCATAGACAAGAGCACAACAAAAACCTGCAATGCTGATATTCCTGTCTGAGGCTCTCAAGTTCACCCATCAGAGCTGGTATCTGTTGCACATCTACATGGGCTCTCTGAAGATCTTGATTTAATTGATGCACTTTGGACATAAGTTCTTCCCTTGCTAAAACCAAATTCTGAGCTTCAGCATGTGCCTGCTGCAACTCTACCTTAACAGGCTCGGCTGCTTGCAGTTCAGCTTCCATCTTAGCTATCTTATCCGTAAGGCTCCTCATTCGTTGTTCTCTATCAGATTTTATGGCTCCTATCTGAGCATGCAATATCTGCAACTCATGCTGTGCAGCAGCAAGTTCCTGTCTCAAGGTCCCATGTGTAGCAGCAAGCCTCTGGTTTTCTGTACCAAGTCTCTGCATCTCCACATGCTGTGCAGCAAGCTTTTGCTCCATAATTTCTGGGGGTGGCAACATATCAAAATGTGGAAAAGGACCTGGTGGGGGTAGTATTCCTGGACCAAATTGGTCAGCGTGCACCATGCCAGGGCCTGGGAGAGGACGCCTTAGATGAGGGGGTGGGATTCGACCTTTGCTTCCCATTCTAAGCAGTGACGTGTGACCTGGACAAAGAAATACAACTTGTAAGAGCACTGCAGATGCTCCACTGTGATTTGACTTAAAAAAAGCAACTTGAAAACTACTCTTGCATCACCTGAGTAACAATTGGACATCAATACAACAATAGGGACTTTGGTCCATACTTCCAACACAACACAGCCAAGGAACAATAAAAAATATAGAAGCTACAGTTGAATTTGAACTCAATGACAATGAATATGTAGAACACTTCAATGCATATTGACCTTTATTATTAAAGTAATTCCTTCCTTTATCATATCCTAGTCTATTACATTTTGCTCAATGCAAAGTTCAAGTTGAAAGAGCATTATATCATCTCCAGTCTCTTAGGCAAAGAGTTCCATAGCAGTCATTTACCAAACAACCGATCAAATAAATAATCACAATAATTTAATAATCCCATGAATGGCGATAAAGATAACGCCAAAGCTTAATAACTGACACTGAATGGACCCTTATCTACAACTTAAGCAGCTAACATGGTTAACAGCGACAGGAATTACTTATTCACTAGTTGGTTTCCATGTCAATGCCACTGGAGCTTAAATGTAGTCATAAGCAGTCAACCTCTTGGGCAGTTTGAAATAAGGCCTTTAGAATTACAATTAAATGCAGCTATCTACCAAACTTTATATTCCACAAGCTAAACTCTAGAAGATGGGGTAGGTTCTTCTGGCACATATTTAAATCATAGCAGTAATGGGAAGTCAGGAGTTGCATGCAGCAAAAAAAATCTGGTAATCAGCACGGACAGATATAAAGGTGCCTAGCAAAAAGATTCAAGTGTAATTAGCCCCAATTTGACTATTGCATTAAATGGGATGCCAATAATAGTTTTATAAATTATTTTTTTCCTCTCTCTCCACTTATTCCCCTCTGCTGCAGCTTCTCAGTAACGGTGAGGTCAATTTAAACAACCCGAACAAAGAGGAAAGTTTCTAGCACATCAATAGCTTGGCTAGACATACTCTGTCGTCTTTGTAAACAAAGTGCTAATATCACAAGTTCTTTATCAACAAAGAATTCGTTTTGGTCTAAGGAAACATGCACTTGCTAGCTAATTAGCTATTAGGAGAGTAATTTAACAGTATCTTCTTGATTTTGGGGTCCAAGGGTATCTAGATAATTTTCTGTTTCGCTAGACTGGGCTTTAGTCATGGTCCACTGGGTCATATTTTGAGTTTAGTCAAATTATTGGGGCTTTTACGGTACCTTTAGTTTATTATAGTTCGAGTCATGGAAATTCCCTCTGTTGTTTCTACTCTGCTCTTTCTCTCTACGGCTACAAATGATTGGGGTTACAGTTCACAGCAAAAGCACAAAAACCTGAGCTTGTTTGCTTGTCATTCCACAGCTTCCATAAAATTCCAGCAATCTTTTCCTGACATCTGACCCTCTTTGACTCCCGAACTCTTACCCTAAATTCCTACCATAAACCATAAACCTTAAACTCATAGTTTTCAAGCCACCACAGACCTAAGATATAGATTTCTCCAAATCTGTCCTGATCAGAAAATTACTTTCCATCTATAAGGAAGCAAAATGGTAATGAAGAAGCATATCATTCAAAATTAATAATAATAAAACACAGGCCTCGCCCCTTGCTACCTTTTGTAAGGTATGAAACACAAACATTACCTTTATATGGCCAAAGGAAGCTATTTAAATTGAATAGATTTGTATGGCATTCATAATTTTAAGGAAGCTACAACCACTGCTCATAATTTGATAGCAATCACTCAGGGAAGACATACACAAAATTTTCATCTTTTTCAGATACCTAAAATACTGAATATAACCCATGTCTAATGGTAGCTCCACTAATCATGTTTATATATTTTTTTTCCTAAATTTTTTTATAAACAACCATGAAAAAATAACATATGATTACAACAAGTTTTCTTCATGAGAGAAACAGGATGAGTCTCATTCATTCCCCAAAAGATATGCTAAATTCTCAGAAATTCATTGCAAAATCCAACCGTTGAGCATAAGTATATAACATATATATTTATTTTTAAATTTCCAAAATTTCAGAAATAGATTGGCGAGCTTGAATTCAACTAATTAGTAATGTTTCTTTTTTTTTTCCAATTCAATTTAGTAAAGCTAAACCCTAGAAACAATTAACAAAAATATAGTCGAAATTTCATTTAAAAAAAAAAGCGACTGAGAGAGAAAAGCCAGCGACGAAGTAGAGGTTGGGGTTACCTGAACGGACAAAATTGTTGTAAAGATTGTTGCAGGTAGAGAGCGGCAGAGATTTCCAAGCCAATAAACCCCTGTAATTTATTTTTTTTTTCTTTCTTTTTTCCTACTATAATAATGACATAAAACTCTTCAAACTTCAAACGGGAAAATTAAAAAAAAAATTAAGCCTCTACGACGTCGCTTCTTATGACTTTCCTTTTCACTATTCGAAGCCGACCTTTACTTATCCCTCCTGCTTATTCCCTTATTTTGTGTTTTACTTTCCGGTAAAGTTTGGTCGCCTGTCATTTTGAACTCTACAGTTGAAAAAAACAATTCATTAATTTTATATTTCTAATATTAATAAAGAAATGATCTTTTATATATTATAAATATCGATAAAAAAAGAAAAAATAGAGAAAACATACAATACATTTTAAAATTTTAAAATGAATTTCAGCACGTGTTTCTTCATATAATAATATATATAGTTATAACATACTAAAATGCTGCACATAATATATTATTAAATATTTATAATGTTGAATATACGAATAATCAAATTAATAAATTATACTTTATAAGATAGAAATAAAATTAAGTTTAATAAATTTCTGTAAACATTGATTTTCAATAACACCAAACATTATAAAGTTGAAACGATTATTTTGCACCCTATTACACAATATGAAAGCAATTTCATGACATTTTAAATTTTAATAACCAATTAAATTATTTTGCACATGGATATCATATTCTTCTTGGTTAACTTGTACCAAATATCCAACTGGAAGAACTAAGTATAATCCACTTTGTGGTTTAGTTGATTGATTATATTAAAAAATTTGCTTACCATGGATGACAATGCCACATAATTGTCTATAGTCATGTACCTAATAGAGGCCAATATCTCTTTCTCACTTTTATAACTAATTGAACTTTAGTCTTTGATTATACCTACAATTATCTATACGATTATTTTCATAAATAACTTTTCAAATATTTTTGTAAATGTGCTCAATATTCAACAAAATTTATGATTTATTTTACTAATATTTAAAAATATTTGAAATATACATAATTATTCCTGAATATATAAATATATTTATGGATATTTTGTAATATGAACAAAAGTGAATATATTCATGTATGGACGGATATTTAATTTCTGTTAAGTCATCAAATTGGAAAATATAAAAATTGGCTTCAAAGGCGTGCATCAATGTTACTATCCTTAAAATTTTATTCACCTTTACTTGTACTGTGCAAAAGAATTACTTGTATATAAACTTCGAAAATACAACGAAACTCAATGATTGATGACGTTTTGCATTGACAAAATCAATCCACTGAGCACTCACTGGAATATGATAAGATTATCACATTTCTATAATATTTTTCTGCAACAAAATAATATAGAAGAAAATTTGAAGAATATTTAAGAAAGGAAGGAAAAATGTTACTATTTTCTTATGTACATTATGTTGGTAAAAGATGGTCTTTTTTTATAAATTTAGTTGCCTATTACCAACAGACATAGTTTATGTCTGTTTCAGACAATTGCTATTGTTGGTCTTTTCCAACAAAGTGATTTCTCAATTTTTTTTTATTTATTTTCAACAGATATAACACTTCTCTTAATTTTTAATTTACAACAATCAAAATTTTTCCTTTTATTTTGATATAGAATTATATCTTTTATTTGAAAATGTTCAACAATCCCCTTACCATTTTCAAATTAATCTAAATTTTTGATAATCTTAAATATCAATTGTATAAATTGAGGTATCTTTCAATTGAACCTTCACTTAGTGAAGACATGTTAAAGTTAACCGAAATTGCATGGTAGACTATGCTTTGAGCCAACTATTCCATTTGATTAATTGAGCACATTTCATATAGCGATTTCAACACGGATGTACAGTATCTGGCGACACTTTTATTGCCATGCCTCTATATCTTCTTTTCATGAGTGTTGTTAGAGCCAAGCTCTTGAATTCTTAAAAATGGCCACACTTCACACTCACATAGATAGATCCTATCAAGAATATCCCGTAACTAAAGCATTTTAACAAATTTATGAGTTTATTCAAATATATAACTCATAATTTCTTTATCATTGCGGGTACCTAGCACTTCACTTGAGATGGAATATAATATATTATATGATAGTACTAGCGACCACTCACAAATAATATATTTTGTCTCATTAAACTCAAGACTTGACATTATACAAAGTGTTTGAGTCGAGTTTTCACCATGGGTAACTTTCAATTTATGAGCTTGAGCCCCATTCCATTTGAGGTCTTATTTACAAGATCTCTAATAACACTTTTTGTTAAAAGATTCATCAAGTTTTCACTAAACCTCACAAAAGTTATAGTGATCACTCAATCCAAAATTAATTATCGAATATAGTTATGTCTTAATCCAATATGTTTAGACTTTTTTATTATACATTTGACTCTATACTTTTGCTAGAGTTGTTTCACTATCACAATATATAGAAATTAGAGAAATTAGTTTAGGCCAATAAGACATATCATAAAGTAAATTTCTTAACCATTCAGCTTCCTTAATGGCATCAACTAATATAATAAATTCGATTGTCATAGAAGAATCTGTTATACACGTTTACTTTTTAGATCCCCAATAAATGACACCCCAACCAAGCATAAAGATCCATTCGCTTGTGGAAGCATAATCTTGTAAACTTGTAATCCAACAGCAAATATTATATCTAGCCTTATACATGTCATTGCAATATATGAAGTAACCAATTATTTTTGTATATTGTAATTGATCAATATGCTTACCAACATTAAGTATTAATTTAATTTGAGAATACATGGATGTAAATGCTAATATAAAATTACTATGATTAAAATTTTTTTTAAATACCTTTTCAATGCAATGCGATTGTGACAACATAATATCATTTTTATCTCAAAATATTTTAATTTTTAAAATTATATCCGTTACATTGATATCTTTTATTGTTTGATTCTAGACAACATCCAGGAAATATACTTTCAAGTCCATTTTCCCTTGGAAATCTTAAGACTATTCTTAAATTGCCAAAGCAATTTAGCATTTCTTTGATTAGTTCTATTCCGGACTTCTTTGTATATTTTAATATTTTCAGAGTCCAAAGCATATGCTGACTCTAAGATTCTTACATGCTCTGAAAGCGAGTAAGGACACCTTCTTGATCATAGAAAAGCTTGATGGTCAAAATGATCTGGATGGTTTTCAAAATAATCCTTCCTAGAATCCACAAATCCTAACTTACCTTTCAATTTATAAATCATAGCATAAGTATCCTTATTAGGCACTGCATTCCTTATAAAATCATTTTTTTAAAAAATGATTTACTTAGTGTAAAGGAAACATTTCTTGTATGATATAACTTACGGTAAACTTACCATATTCAAAACCTAGTACTATAAGCGTACTTCACTGGCAATAGCATTACTCCCAATGACATCATTGTCTGCACATGGCAAGTAAGTTTTTTTTAATTAATTTATTTATTTATATGGACAATGGAAAGAGTTTGCTTTGAAGCCAGGGGAAAGAGTTGAAAAGCAAAGTTTTTTTTGTGACTCTGGTTTTGCTTTCATTCCTGTAATCCTGTTGTCTTTTTTATGTCAAGCAAAGGACATATATATATATATATATATATATACAGTAATATAAATCTAAGATATTCACTTGGAATAGGATTATTCACCCAGTGCAAAGTTTTCTTATAAGTCCTCATAGGTTATATCACCTACATTATTATGTAAAGGCTTTCATTTGGTTCCTGCAAGACCATCTTTTTTTTTTCAATGTAATATCATTTTTGAGATATTTCTTGTATTATAAATCATTAAATTTTTTTTGAAATTCTAATATCTAATTTTTTGTAGTAGATATCTTTAGGATAATTCATACAAATTAAATCAATTAAGTCAAGAAAGTGTATCTGTTAATCTAGTGAAAAACTATTTTGCTATTTTCTTTGTCAGCATTTACCTGGTTAAATTTTATAAAAATTAAAAGTCAATTTTTTTAATGTTCCACTAGCAACAGCGATTGATGGAACGAAATAAAACTTTAAGATTGTTAGATCATCGAATTGAAAAATGTAAAAATTAACTTTAAGATGTGTATCAATGTCACTATCATTAAAATTTTATTTACTCCTAATTGTAATAGGTTAAAGAGAAGAGTTACTAATGTATAAACTTCGAAGATATAATAAAATCTAATTATTGATAGTTTTTTATACTAACAAAATCGATCCACTAAATACTTATCGGAGTATAACAAAATTATCACTCTTCTACATTATGTTTGAGAAAAAAAAATGTTATTGTTTTTAATGTACATTTTGTTGGTAAAAAAAAGTCATCTTTTATAAATTTAGATACCTACTCAACAGACATTGTATGTATTTGTTTTAAATAGTTGCTACTGTTAATTTTTTCTAACAGACGTAACTTTTAATTTTTTTATTTATTTTTAACAATTATAACCTTTATATAATTTTTAATTTTCAATCGTCATAATTTTTCTTTTTAATTTCATATAAAATGATATCTTTTATTTAAAAATATCCAACAATTTCATGGTACTAATTGATTATGTATGTTTGACACGTGACATACACGTGTCAATACACATACGGAATGAAAATTGAGTTAAATGGATTATTTTTTTCTTTTTCTTTCTTTACCCTTCTTCTCCTCCTCTTGTCCCACCAACCAGGACCATTCGACGATGACAGAGCCCAGCCTCTATTCCCCATGTTGGATTGACAATAACAAGGACCGGTCAGGCTCTAATCATCGTCATGGTGCCGGTTGGGCCAAGCCCGACCCTCCTAACTGCGGGCAGACGCTTTGCTGACTGGGGAGAAAGAAATAGAAAGAGAGGAGAAAAAAACAAAGAAAAAGCGGAGATAAAATACAAAAATTGGTCATTTTTTAAAAATATTAGATATATTTTATAAAATATTATAATTTAAAGTAAATAATAATTTTTACATTTCTAATAAACATTTTTTATTTTTAAATACAGTATGAAGACTTAAATTTAAAATAAAATAAAAAATTGTAAATATGTGATATACTAAGTAGCAAACAAGTGTTGTCAATTGCATTTAATATCATACCTAACAAAAACATG